AGTCACTAGGTTAATTCTTCTAGTTTTTGACAATTCATATTAAAGTAATATGAATTGTCTATTTGGAGATCTTTAAGTGTTATTCCCTTAATTTCTAGGGTTCCTTTTCTCTCTCTGGATTCCTCTCTCTCTTGAACATGATAATTAACATGCCTCAGCGCATACGTGATCTGGACCATTAGACATCACGGTCTCATTTGACCAATTAATTACCTCAGTTCCTTGACCTTCATTTTCATCTTGGAAATAGGGTTTTCTAAATTCCTCTCTGATTTCTGAATTTTGAATTTTAATTACAAGTTTACTCTAATGATGAGAGTATAGAAAGATTGTTATTCACTCTTAATTAGATATTATAAGCAGTAATATAAAGTATAGAAAGATTGAACATACAATAATTAAGAAGAGTAAAGATATAGTATAGGGAGTGCCTTGTGATCCAATGATGCCAACCTATTGCAGTGACAAAAGCCTCGGTTTAAGTCGTCTTTTTACTCTAACGAACAAAATTGAAAGAATTTTTTCAACCCCGCCTGACTATGAAGAGCTTCGAGTCTATCGGGAATTAAAGGATGTGGTGGTAACTCCCGCAGCTTTGTGTACAAGATTCACCCTAATAATGGTACCTATGCGAGTGACAGAAATGTTAATGAATGAGAATTAAACTTGGCTTTGTTTTTATGCAGGAAATCTCATGAATAAATGTAGAGACATGAGAAGCCTCCGGTTTATGTTGACAAGAGGCTCAATAATTACAGTAAATGAGGAATAAAAAACAAATGTTTTGATTATCCGTTCAATCTTTCTATACTCTCACAATTTTTGTTTATGCTTTACTATTTGCTGTTAATTTTCAGGGAACTTATTATCTGATATAGCTTAATAATGATTCTGAGACAGTGAAAAGTACTCGAAAGAGAAGAAAATGACAAATAATTTTACCAGAAATAGTTTAATCAAGTATTTTATCCTATCCCAAAAATGGTTGAAAGTTACTATTAAAAATGGAACTATATATGTATTTGTTGTGATTATTATTATGGATTTTGGAGTCCTCTTAATTTCCAACTCATAATTTACTAAATTGCTCATTTCTTAATTTCATGAAGAGAAAATCGACACATCAAATGTTTAATCTTAAAAATCTCCTATATATGATTGTTATTTGCATACGTTTGTTTGTTTGTTTTTTTTCTTGCACATATGTTCAAATTTTGGCTGCTTGATCATAATGCTTTTCTCATTACTGCAGCATGAGGCAGATCATAGAACAATATATGCAAGCTAAAGGGATTTCTATACTGCAGCGTGACGCAGGGATGGGAGAAGGATTATACAATGTAAGCAAAGTGATCTTAATTGAATATATTATTCCTTTTTAAGCTATATGTAGATTCTTCCTAGTAATCAGCATCATCTTTTTCTATGCATTATTCTTTCTCTCGCATGATATATCTTTTGATATTGTGAAATCGTCCAGGAGCAATTCAACGCAGAGATGAAAAGAATGAAAAGGAAAACTACTGATCTTCAACTGAGTGTTCAGAGGTACCAGGGAAATACTGATATGAGTACTTTACAGTTGGAGGAATTGGTCGAACTTGAGCGCCAGCTTGAGATCTCTGTTGCCAAGGTTCGAGCAAGAAAGGTGACACTTCTTTCCCCCTAATTCCACATTACTTTGACATTTTCACAGTTAACATTCCCCTTCATTTTGCTGCAGCTTAAATGGAAAGTCTGTCTACAACGTAGTGTTTAAAGCAAATTAATTTACAAATAATTTAGTATGCCTCGTACTTGTTGCGGCGTTGATTTTTTTAACTATTTTGTGCTGAATATTTGTTATGCCTACTTAAAAACAATTTGATATCTGGATCATCTGTCTTTTCTTCACAAAAGAACTTATATTAAAATTATAGATACTTGTCATAAGCCTTATTTGCTGCATATATGTACTTGTTTTCAGTTTCAGCTCCTGGATGAGCAACTTGAAAATCTGAAGAAGACGGTAATTTGGGATTTACCTCTCTTTGAGTGTGTGTGTGTGTGTGCGCATGCGTTTTTATTATTTAACTATTTCTTTATGCTGCTGTTTTAGGAAAATTTGCTGGAGAAGGAAAACCAAGATATTTACCATTGGGTAAATTTCAATGTTAAATTATTTCTAACATTTACAAACTGCATCTACAGTACTTTCTGTCTCATATAATTTGTTTGATGCTTTGAATTGGTTCCCAGCCATTCATAATTTAAATGCTCTTGATTGGGATTTAAATTATTATCCCACTCCATTGGGAAACTAGAAAGTTCGTTATAATTGGAATTTTTTGTTATCGGAAGTAGATTTCACTGATACTGTAACTTTTCTTGATTAGCTGATGAACAATCACATTCAGAGGCAAGCAGAAGCAATGGAGCATCAGCATCAACAACAGGCAATGACAGAACTCAAATTACTGGAAGAGCAGCCTTTGTTGAATCAGCTTCAAGTTTTTGGACAAGATTTGCATCCGTCTGCAAGTGCTATGCCTATTCTTCAACTTGGTGCTGTACCTCTTGATACACACTCCTACCGCCTCCAGCCTACCCACCCTAACCTTCAAGAATCCGGCCTGCAAGGCTTTCCCTACGGTATGAAGAACCATTTTTTAGCACAATTCTCTAACTTTTCTCGGCTTTGAACTTTCAGAGAATGTATCATTCATAGTATTGCATCATACAATTGTTAAGCTTTATACCTCTTTAACTCCCGTATACCAAACAAGTCATTAGTGTGTGTTTATGTTACCACCAATTAGCATAAAGTTGGGATCATATTCTTCACGCGTGACCAGAATAAAGGGATTTTGAGACATTAGGTTTCCTATAGTTGTACATATACTAATATGCATTTTTCAATTTGAATATGCAGTGTGACTCTAGGCATTTGGATGAGAGGGACAGTTGCTGGTTGATCGAGACAAGAAATAATCCAGACACTCTTCTGTTCTTAAACTTACATAAAAACTTTACTCGTTTGAGCATGACATTGCAGGGTGTTAGATGTTAGTATTAAATTGTTTTCACATTAATTTGTGTCATTCACTACTAAAATATGCAGCATGAGTGACGGGATTTTCCATCCCTCGTGCTATGATTTTCGTTGATAACAATCGATGTCAGTTAACTCCGATAGTGAATGCCTGATCGCTAATTTATTGATGAACTAATTTAGGTGTCGATAGTTACCGACATATTAAAAACAAATATTTTCATATGTAATTATCGATGGATTAACTATTTCGCCAGTAATTTACAAATAGATATTTCTAATAACTACATTCGTTAATTACCGAAGGATTAAGTCGTCAATGATTTACCAGCGGATTAAATCCATTGCTAATTCGTTTTTTTATCACTATTGTAACGACGAACGACTTCCATTGCTATTATTGACGGATTAACAACAAAGTAGCATCTGGTTAGTATTTTGTTATTTATAAAATATTAATTTACAGAAGACTTCGTATTAAATATTCGTTGAATGAGATTGTCGACATAGTTGTTGTTAAATTAGCTTAATTTAGATTAGAAGTTAAAGATTATATGTCGATACTTAAGATTTAAGAAAATTAGTGTTGTACATAGTTTTCAGAGGTGAGCTGGTCATTAACTTGGTCGAAGCACCAATTCAATGGGTTACTTGTTTAACCGGCGGGTCAAGATCGATTCAGAAGTCAATAAAAAATATTTTTATGTAAAAAAGAGAGGAACGATGTATGTTTAAAAATGAATTTCATAAAGAAAAATAATATTCTACTAAAAATAAAAATAATATCAATTATTCATTTCATTATTCTAAAAAAACCTTTTTATATTAGTCGGTTACTTCAACCACCCTAAATACCATCTCATCATCATTTTGTGCCATTGTGACCACAGCCATTGACACCAACCATCTCCAATTGTACATTTATTTTCAAATCTGAAACAAAAAGTTGGTTAAGAATGTGAAACTATTTCACTTTTGCAGCATCTCTGCAATGATTTTTCAATTGAGGAGTTTTTAATCTTGGTTTTCTCTATTGTTTTCAAGTATATGTTCACAATTCCCTTCAACCTTCAATTTTTCCTTCTTTTTGGTGGTTTGTGACATACGACGACTGGTTTTAAGATGGTCTGAAGTGGTGTGGCGACGACGTAATACTTTGTACTATAAATTTAGCACATTTTTACTTTTATTATACTTGTAACAATGTGTTACAATTGGTAATGGTGGTGGAGACGGTGATGCCAACGACCATTTATCACAACTTATTACAAGTGTTACATTTTGTCCCTGTTTGATATACATTTTTTTTTCAAGAATACATTTTTTTATGTGATGGGGAATATGTGATTGAAAAAGAAGGAAAAATTATTGATGTGATAGAAAATATTATTTTATTGAAAAATGTGTGATTGAAAATGAATAGAATACTGAGAATAAAAATGAGAATGTAGCTCAAACAGGCCCTTTCTGTTACATTATTGAATTTGTTATAAAAAGAATAACAAAAATTGTTACTAAGAGCATATATATTTTTGAAAAAAATATGTGGTTTAAAAAAAAAAAATTTATAGATAATTCTGATTTTAATCTAAACACATTTCTATCACGACTCATCCAATCAGACACAGAAAAGTATCCAAACCAAGAAAAGGGAAAATTACAAAATAGAAATTATCAACTCAAGTAGGCAAAGAACAAATGGCAAACCCAAAAACCTGCCACACAAAAATCCAATTTTCCATAATCCAATTTGCCCCCACAGCTCTCTATCGATGCTATCCATACAATTATTCTCCTCTTCTGCATATCCAAATTCAAACACAGCCAAATTAGTATGTTTTATGAGTAACAGATTAATCCCGACAAGTAAAATAAATACATTCGCAATTAAGTTGCATCCACTGAATTCGGATTATATATAGATAAAGTGTATGCCCGATAATTTTTAAATTTGATTGTGGCATCTGGCATGGCGACGTCTTGTTACTGTTATTACAATTACAGTAATAATCATAATTGTCCATGCCACTTCCGCATGAATCGGGTCGGTGTAACCCGGGTGTTTTTCCATCAGCTCAGTTGTATCAAGATTTCGGGGCCAGGGTTCGGGTCCGGCACTGGGTCAGGCTGCGAGTTTATGTTGCCGAAGAAGAAGAGTAAATGGTTGGGACGGCGTCGTTTCAAGCTTGTTGCCAGTGCTGAACTGTCTAACTCCTTATCTGTGAACATTGGTTTGGACTCCAAGGTCAGTTTTTTGTTTGTTTTTACTGTTTTTTAGAAAATTATAAATGTAAATAGAAATGTTTCGACTTACATACAGTTGGTGTATGAATTATAATCTTGGTGTTTTGGGTTTTGATGAAAGGATAATAATTGGCTTAATTATTACACAATAACTTGTTCTTGATGTAATTAAATAATAAATAGTAAAATGGGTATTGGCAAACAATTAATTTTAGTGATACCTCAGAAATTAGCTAATCATTGCAAGATTTATATGTAAAATAATTCCCATTAATAAATAATATTGGGAATATTGTGCCACTTTCATTTTCTTGATTTTATCTTGTTGTGCTACTAGTAATTTCTTGTATGCTTAGTTATTTTTAGATGAGAGTTTATAGATGTTCTTTAATGTCTGTTTAAATGGTGGACAATTTGATTGTCACTGCTATAAATGGGCCTTTTCTTCACAAATTTGAAAATTGTTTTATTACTGTTATTTGTCACAGTTGCCTTGGGTTGGACCACTTCCCGGGGATATTGCAGAGGTTGAGGCCTACTGTAGAATCTTTAGGGCAGCTGAACAGTTTCATAATGCTTTAATGGACACGTTATGTAATCCAGCGACGGGTGAGTGCAGCGTTTCATACGACATGTCATCAGAAGAGAAGCCTTTATTGGAAGATAAAATAGTTTCCGTCCTAGGTTGCATGGTCTGCCTGCTGAATAAAGGAAGAGATGATGTCCTCTCAGGGCGATCTTCCATCATGAATTCATATCGGGATGTGCAGAAAAAGGTAATGGATGATAACCTTCCTCCACTTGCTATTTTTAGGGGTGAGATGAAAAGTTATTGCGAGAGTTTGCATGTTGCTCTTGAGAATTATTTGACGCCAGATGATGCTCGAAGTGTAAATGTTTGGAGAAAGTTGCAAAGGCTAAAAAACGTGTGTTACGATTCTGGATTTCCCCGAGGGGACAATCACCCTTGTCAGACATTGTTTGCAAACTGGGGTCCTATTTACTTGTCCACCTCAAAAGAAGAAATGCAGTTGGGAAATGTAGAGGTTGCTTTTTGGAAAGGTAGCCAGGTGACAGAAGAAGGCTTGAAGTGGCTGTTGGAGAAAGGATTCAAAACAATTGTGGATCTCCGGGCAGAGACTATAAAGGACAATTTCTACAAAATGGTATTAGATGAAGCTATTTTGTCTGGAAAGATCGAGCTGATTAAACTTCCCGTCGAAGTTGGTACTTCACCTTCAATGGAGCAGGTTGAGAAGTTTTCCACTTTGGTGTCAGATTCGAGCAAAAAGCCCATTTATCTACACAGTAAGGAAGGAAGGCAGAGAACCTCTGCCGTAGTGTCTAGATGGAGGCAATACATGGATCGTGCCACATCTCGGTTTGTCTCTAATCAGCGAGTTAGCCCCACTGACATTCTAGTTCCAGATGCTAAAATAATAGAAGAGACAGACTTTGTTTCAAACTTCAAAGAGAATACAACCTCCGACGATGGAAATGGGTCCATCTCAAAGAAATCTGATAAATCTTCTAGATCCCATGGAGGATTTATTAATCAAGCCTCTTCAGCTGTAGAAACCCAATCACGGAGCAGTAATGGAGCCTATATTACCAGACCAACCAATCAGGCTACCCCATTACCAAAAATAAATGGTGAAATAGAACCAGTAATAAACTTCTACAGAAATGTGAAACCACTAGAGTCTCAACTACCTCCTATGGATGTTTTCTCCAGAAAAGAAATGACCAAGTTTTTCAGGAATAAGAAGATTTCACCTGGAACATATTTTATATACGAACGCAGAAGATTGGATATGCTGTCTGCTTTAAGATATAACTGCAATAGGACAGTCTTGAGAGAAGAAACTACCACTAATTCCAGGTTTAAGGAAGAAGATATTGTGAACAGATCACTTAACGGTAACATGTCATCTTCGAAGCCTACCCCTCCTAGTTATGGGCCATATCAGAGTCATAATTCTTTTGTCACACCAACACCTCTTCCCAATGGAACAATTAGTAGTAAAGAGTATGCTTCAGGTGAGAAAGATGGTCGTACTAGTACAAGCATTGAGCTAAATAAGAATGTCAAGTCAACGATGGTTACTCGAGAGAATAAGAGCAACAGTGACTACTTATCATCAGATGATGAAAGCTTGGAAACCCTTGAAGGAAATATGTGTGCTTCTGCAACTGGTGTTGTGAGAGTGCAGTCAAGAAAGAAAGCTGAGATGTTCTTAGTCCGAACAGATGGATTTTCTTGCTCTAGAGAAAAGGTAACAGAATCTTCCTTGGCATTCACTCATCCTAGCACGCAGCAGCAGATGCTTTTGTGGAAATCTACACCGAAGACTGCATTATTATTGAAGAAGCTGGGACAAGAACTCATGGAAGAAGCCAAAGAGGTAGTATCCAGTTAAAGGATATCTGTGATGGGAGCATCCTATTTGATTGGAAAATTGCTTAAAGTTTAAATATTACAAATGGGTTAGTTTGTTCTTATAAAGTCTTGATTACAAAATGAATGAAAGGAACTGAAAGGTTAACACTGTAATGAAAGCTTCTTGAGAATGAAACTAGAACCAGACTTGACTACCACTGGTACTGGTAGTGGATTTAGGAATAGAGCATATAAGGTGAGGGCGGGGGAAGATACGAAAATGCAACTATAGTAGACGTATATTTATTTATAATTCATCATATAAGGGAAAGCTAATGTAATGCTTGACGGGCAGTAAGCAATGCCATATTTCTGAATTATACACAATCAAAGAAATGTTTTAGGCAAGGAAATCTTCTCCCATTCAATACTATTCGAATCTCTCTAGGTAAAGAATCTATATTGTGAAATCTATTTTGAATCCACAGGCGCTGTAGATTAATTCGGGTTCCTCAGCTAGCTGACATGTATATCTCTTCCTTCTCTAGGTTAAGAAACTATATTGAAAAATCAATTTTGAATCCATAGGCCCTGGAGATTAATTTGGGTTTCTTTTTATATTTTTAGTAATATTTTATGTCATTTTCACGTATCTTTAACCTATCTATTTTGTTTCTTTTTATTTTATAACACAATATCTTATTAAGATGGCATTGGACCTTGATAAACATATGGTTGCTATTTTATACTTTGTTCATTATACATCAAAGTTTCTCCTTTTGATTCTACTTAACTGCGCTTCATCATCTTTGCTTCAAATATCTAGATGGCTTATTCAGCTACACTGTTTCGTAAAAGTACTAATACTTGAAGGTTCTTCTATGCTAACTAATTTTACCTTTGCCCAATAGTGTAGAGTCTGCATAGAACTTGTTTCCTCTTTTGACTTTTGAGAGTACTTCATGAATTTATTGTTGATAAATTATGAACCTGAAACCCCTTTGTTTTTGAACATGTATTCTTCTTATGTTTTTCATATTTTATTGGGATGTTCGTTTTCTTTCTTTCTTTTTGTTGGTTTGAGTAACTAATTCTTCAGAGAATATTCTGATTTCCGTACCTTTCTAATCTTGCACAAATGTCCATCTTTTGCATTGTCTCATTAGTTTTTTTTTTTTTTTGAAGAACAGCTCCCAAGGTATTCCATTGTATAAAAGTCAACTTTTATTTCCCTCTTCAAGGTTATTAGATTCAGTGCATCCCATTAATTAATCTGCTTCAATAGATCCTTTCTCGACCCCATTGCTCATTTAGAATAAAGTTTTAACTTACTTTCTTGTCGTTTATTATCAGTGTTATATATAATTGACATACATTATATCAAATTCCCCAACCCCACGGACCCCTCACCCACTCCTAGAAAATTTTCAGATATTAAAAACCTTTGCTAGATATTACACCCGGCCTCATGAGACCACCCCTTCTGACCCCACCTCACTCCCTAGAAAATTTTCAGATCTTGACCTCACCCGTAGGAAATTTCCAGAAATTTAAAATGTTTTCTATATATTACACCCCACCCACATACTAACCGTGTTTAACCAGATTTATTGTTTGTGATTAGACCTGTATTATATGTGAGTATTTGTGATCAAATTTGTCTTAAATATGATTGTTTGTGATCGTTTAATTTGTGACAGTATGTAACCAAATCACTAACATGTATTATATATGACTAGCTATAAAAAAAAATTGTCTTCAGTACGACTAACTGTGACCATATTTGTTTTTAGTATAATTGTCCATGATCATCTAATTTGTGATTATATGTATCCAAGTAACTAACATCTGTTACCTATGACTAACTAAGTCTAACTGTGGCCAAATTTATCTTCAGAGATTCGCACACGCTATGCACACTAGGAGCAACGGTGTCGAAATTTCCCACCCTAGGCATCAATTAGCACTGCCGTTGGATTGCAAATAGAGCTGTGCTTCCTGTGGAGAATTCACTTAGCGGCTCTATTAACTAGAATTACAATCTCATCCTCTCCCACTGTCTCCACATAGTGGTGAGGTTCAAGCCCCCGTCCACCACTGCATCATCGCACTCCTTGGCGTCCGAATCGAACACCTTACTCGAATCATAAGCCACCCCCTGTGCCCCCCTCCCCTTCAATGCAAAAACACACTCACTAAATTCAGGGGCGGATCCACATGGGGTCATGTAGGGTCAGATGACCCCACAGTTTTTTTTTTTCGAGTTTTTTATTTTTATTTTTTAAAACTAACACTTACTACCAAGCAGCCCAATCCACTGGCCCAATTACACTAGCCCAATCCAAGAAATAAAAAACACATTCACTCACTCACAGCCACAACCCTCTCCTAATCCAGCGACCTCCGCCTCTGTCGCTCTACCTCTGCCTCTGACTCGCAGGTCATCCAGCAGCTCAGATACAGCTTCAGCGGCCCAGCCTGCAGTTTCGCAGAGACGTAAAGTTGAGCCCTAAACCAGTCGGCAGTCGGCGATTCTTCTTCGAATCTTCTTCATCCTTCGACAATTGGCAGCAGTAACCTCCTGTAAGTCTGTAACTAGCTTGGGTCCTTTCGATTATTTGTTATTGCGGTAGTTGCTGGCTTGCTGCGTGAAGTGTCGTGAACCCGGAATGTACCTTTTATAGTCAAGATACAAGGTTCAGAATCTTCTCTTTTTCTTCTATTATCTTTTCTTGTGAAAATCCTCTGACCACCTCCTAATACTGCTGATTCAGAGACCTTCATGAGAGAGTTGATTTTGTGGCTTGCTTGGGAGGAGATGGAGTCATACTTCACGCTTCCAATTTATTTAGAGGTGCAGTTCCTCCTGTTGTTTCATTTAATCTTGGGTCCCTGGGATTTCTCACATCCCATACGGTATGTCTCTTGACTCAACCCTTCTGTTAAACTCTGTAAAGCTGATAAAATCTATTCCTTCTTTACTCTGTTTTTTTTTGCTGCATACAGTTTCAAGATTGTAAGAATGACCTGAAACAAGTTATACATGGGAACAACACACTTGATGGTGTGTATATAACTCTTAGAATGCGTCTCCGCTGTGAAATATTTCGAAATGGGAAAGCAGTGCCTGGCAAGGTATTTAATGTGCTCAATGAAGTTGTAGTTGACCGTGGTTCCAATCCCTACCTCTCCAAAATTGAATGTTATGAACATGACCACCTCATAACAAAGGTACATTAATTTTTAGATGTATATATAATGAGGGTATAAATACTTTTTTGACTGAACTAGCTATTTTGTAAGGTTATACGGCATCTTTACATTAATTGCTTTGCTTCTGCTGAATTCAAAGTTCACTGTTCAAATATTTATATATGCTCATTCATTCACAAGACTTGGAATCTGAAGGGCAAAAAAAAAATACTTTTTTTATGGTTTGTGCATTACAGTTTCAACGATAAATTTGATAGGTACAAGGTGATGGAGTTATAGTAGCCACTCCTACTGGAAGTACAGCTTATTCCACTGCTGCTGGAGGGTCTATGGTAAGCTGGCATGAGTCCAAAAATTAGAAGTATTTTATCTTGCTAACTTAAAATTATAATATATTTTATGGATTGATGTCATTAATTTTATTTTTTTTGATACTTGACCCTTCTATACGAATTTAACTGCATTATGAAAGATATACAACAACAAAGAACAAACTAAGCCATATCATCAAGAAGCAATATAACAGATATGCAACACTAGAATATGGAAGACTTCTCTACAAAGACAATCTCTTGAACAGAGTTAGTTGTTAATGAGAAGTTTCACATGGCTGGTTTCATTTTTCTAGAAGACCATTTAGTACTGGGATAAAAAGGAACTGAATTGTTATTTTCAAGAAGTCATATTTTGCCAAGTATGCAAAATATTGATAGTGAGAGAATAAATGCCAGTAAGACGAATTAAAACTTCTTTTTACTGGTTTTGTGTAATGGAACCACTTATTTGTGTATGTAATATAGACAATGACGTATATACTGTGATCAGTAATAGAATATAATTTTAGAAACCTATATCCTTTATTCATAGTTATTCAAGCTGCTTTGTTTTATATAATTATGAATTGCTTGGTGAGATGAGTTGAGAATTATGAATTGTTACGCTAGTGATACCAGTGGCTATTCCCAAATGCAGGTACATCCAAATGTTCCTTGTATGCTCTTTACACCGATTTGCCCACATTCTCTCTCATTCAGACCTGTCATACTTCCTGATTCTGCACGGCTGGAATTAAAGGTATGCTTTTCTTTATGTTTAGAAATAAAAACATTTTGCGAGTAACTAGAGAGGAAAAATATATTGTTCCTATGAATTATGAGGTTGCTAAATGTTGAGTTGACTTTGGGAACACATAATTGGCTTTCTGATTTATTTTCTTTATTGACTTCAGTACCATTTAGAAGTTCTTATTCACGGGAAGAAAAGGACTATTCAATAAATCATATCAGTTGAATAAGATAGACATGAAGTAATAAAAGAATAAGATAAATGATAATGTTATACATCCGAAAGATTTACAAGTTTGTACCAATTCTTTTTGATTTATGAAGATTTGAGAATGTCTCTTCTTTGTTCTTCTTAAGTTCTTCTATTCATAAACAAAGCACACAAAATTTTGTATATTTATAAAGCAATAAGATTGTATACGAGTTCATCGATCAAACTAGAGTTGGAGCAAGAAATTATTCGAAAATTAAAATTACCACAAACAGTTATATTTTTCTTCTCATGTAAGTTCTAAAGTAGATTTTTAACGTTAATTACTTCTTCTTTGTTGTTGATCTTTGATATCATTCAAGATAGATCCAATCACATACTACTTGGGGGATATTTATGTCTTATTACCTTGGTAATTATCTTAGGCGCCCGAGGCTCTAAAATCTTACCGTTTTCTGTTCTTGCTCTGGGGTGTGTAGATTCCAGAGGATGCACGAAGTAATGCTTGGGTCTCGTTCGATGGGAAGAGAAGGCAACAACTTTCTAGAGGCGATTCCGTTCGTATATTTATGAGCCAACATCCACTTCCAACAGTCAACAAGTCCGACCAAACAGGTGATTGGTTTCGAAGCTTGATTCGTTGCTTGAACTGGAACGAAAGATTAGATCAGAAAGCGCTTTGATTGCTGAAAATATTACCCAATAATTTGCCTGCAAAGATGTATATTGATGTACAGTTTATGAGTTAGATGTTTACGAGTTTCTCAGGTCAGAAAGAGCATATAGCAGTGATTTTCCCGATTGGCTCCCATTACTTATAGGGTCTGCCATTTCTTTTCCTTTGTATTTTCTCTAATTTTATTATGTAACTTGTACATTTTATATATACGGAAAATTTTGCAACTGTTCATTACTCACTGTTCTTTATGCTTTTGTGTTCTTAGCTAAGATAGATTTCTCAGCTACAATATCGAAGTTCATATATTGTACAGAAAATGATATTTTGTTGCAATGCTTCATTGGCTTGTAGTTGTATGGATACAAGCTTTGCATTCGTGGTTTTATTGAATTTGTATGTTTCATGTATATTTATACTGTAACTCAAAACTTTTGTTTTAACTTTCCAAGAAATATTGTGTGCATATATTGTTATTAGTTATGTAATCTACCTTGAATAGATCTTAAATTTGCCCATAGAAAACTAATACTTCGAATATATGATATGATACTGGGAGATAATATTTAATTACTTCTAGATTACAAGCTCTGTGAAATATTCAGTCAACTATTGACATGTTAAAGAAAAATGATAAGTTTCATCATAACATCATTTTTGGTATAGATTCTTTAAAATTCATATTCAATAACTAAAATTATCAATTTTCGTAAATTTTATTCTGAAAAAATTCTACATCAAACGGGCCATTAATAATTCACATAGACCAATTACTTTAACACCACAACTTGAGAACTGAAATTGCCTGCACAAACGCGAGCAAAACATTAATCTTTCTATAGATGCAGCTGAACAATAACATGCTGACATTGCTTTTTGCTAAAAGGCACAATTTCATACCCCTACACCTCACTCCCAAAGACATGCATAATGGAAAAAGAAACATAAATTGGAACTGTATAATTACTCATTTTCCTTAGATTTCACAGGTTGGAAACTTCGTTATTTAGATAGGAACTTTTGTTCAGTGTAAACAGACAATTAATCGCCAAACACAAAGTTGGGGTATATTGGATCCACCACCTGGTTTTCAGTTTTCTCAACAAGTTCGAGCAGGTCCTATGTTGGCATTGAGTGATGGATTGTAGAATGAAGCAGGTGATCTCTGATTCCCATTGGTCAAGGCAAAAACCCGGTGCCAAAAACTCTTGTAACTTCCATAACTGAGGAATTCAATCTGATCCCCAGTGTTTATGACTATTGCATTTTTCATTGGCTCATCAATCCACTTCCCATCTTTCAGAATTTGAAGCCCTTTAACCTCGTCATCTTGAAACATGAGTAAGATGATGCTTATGGCATCAGCGTGTGCCCCAAGGCCAGTCAGCTCTTCGGGGGTGAGGACAAGGTAGATAATGGCTCATCTTCTTGCTGAAATAGGTATGATTTTCTCCTGCATCGTCAAAGGCTTTCTTGATGTACCCGTAATCCCAAGTTTTCATCCTTTACTTCCATGACTTTTAACTGCCAGTTTTTCCAGTTCAGCTATGTATTCCTTCAGGGTTTCCCTATCAATATATGTAATGTGTTATATGATGGACAACAAGCTAATCCTCGAATTCAAATAAACTTAAGGTCGACCACATGAAGTGAAAGGTATAAATTGATGCAAATTATGCTTAATTGAATCCAGGAGTCTTAGTTGGCCATTCATTTTCATTCTCGTCCGAGAGAAGGAAAACATCCTCTCAATCCACATTTTCCAATTTTTCCTCACTTTTCTTTTACACCAATTCATTTAGAAGCTGTAATGGCATTGAATTCTTGAAATTTTCCTCTCTTTCCAATTTGTAGCATTCAGAGGCCACCTTCTTCACCCTCTACAGGAGCTCCCCAGGGATTCCATGGTTCACTAACTGCAAAATGTCACACAAAAATTAAAATTTCAGATTTCAAGATGCAAAAATGTGTTCATATTCTTTTACAAACATGCTTTCTATGACGATTATTATGATCATAAACTTATCACTAGCCTATGGTGGCTTTCAGCCGGTCATATTGTAGTGATAATGAATACCTGAAAGAATTACCATTCTTCGCAGTACTTAGCAATCTCAGCAGGAATCAGCCCTCAAAGGCTTTCTTGATGTACCATTTTAGTTAGGAAAATGCTGGATGACCCGGCTCAGTGACCGAGTAGAAAACAGGGATTTAAGTGATCACGTGCAAAACCCATGGCACCACGTTTTTTCAACCAAATTGGAGGGAAATTAGAAACCCAAATTGATTTCCGCCATTTAGAAAGCCAGCCTCCCACCGTTTTCATCTCCAACCCCCAGCGAGAGATCGAAGACAGAACTGAGCACTTCGCACCCATTTCATCTCACCCCCAGCTAGGTCGAAGATAGAGATTCACAATCGTTCCTCTCCCAGCTGATTTTGGGCCTCCGTTTTCATCTAGATCGAAGACATTTGCAGCCACCATTTTCATCTCCAACCCCAGCGAGATCGAAGACACAACTGAGCACTTCGCACCCATTTCATCTCACCCCCAGCTAGGTCGAAGATAGAGCTTCACAATCGTTCCTCTCCCAGCTGATTTTGGGCCTCCGTTTTCATCTAGATCGAAGACATTTGCAGCCACCATTTTCATCTCCAACCCCAGCGAGATCGAAGACACAACTGAGCACTTCGCACCCATTTCATCTCACCCCCAGCTAGGTCGAAGATAGAGCTTCACAATCGTTCCTCTCCCAGCTGATTTTGGGCCTCCGTTTTCATCTAGATCGAAGACATTTGCAGCCACCATTTTCATCTCCAACCCCAGCGAGATCGAAGACACAACTGAGCACTTCGCACCCATTTCATCTCACCCCCAGCTAGGTCGAAGATAGAGCTTCACAATCGTTCCTCTCCCAGCTGATTTTGGGCCTCCGTTTTCATCTAGATCGAAGACATTTGCAGCCACCATTTTCATCTCCAACCCCAGCGAGATCGAAGACACAACTGAGCACTTCGCACCCATTTCATCTCACCCCCAGCTAGGTCGAAGATAGAGCTTCACAATCGTTCCTCTCCCAGCTGATTTTGGGCCTCCGTTTTCATCTAGATCGAAGACATTTGCAGCCACCATTTTCATCTCCAACCCCAGCGAGATCGAAGACACAACTGAGCACTTCGCACCCATTTCATCTCACCCCCAGCTAGGTCGAAGATAGAGCTTCACAATCGTTCCTCTCCCAGCTGATTTTGGGCCTCCGTTTTCATCTAGATCGAAGACATTTGCAGCCACCATTTTCATCTCCAACCCCAGCGAGATCGAAGACACAACTGAGCACTTCGCACCCATTTCATCTCACCCCCAGCTAGATCGAAGATAGAGCTTCACACCCATTTCCTCTCCCAGCTGATTTTGGGCGACCCGCAGCTGATTTTGGATTTTCACTCCCGGAGGCTTTTGGATTCTGATTTGGGGCTATAAAGCTTTGATTTTCAACTGATTGTGAGTATTAATTATTGTTTTGAACTGATTGTGAAATATTAGAACTCTAAACACACTTTGTATGGTTGTATCTATTCAACCTGTGATAGTGTTGTGAACAATAATTGCAATGCCTATGTCCACTATAATTTCTTTAGGTATTTTTATCTATTGCATTTAATTGAGAACCATACTTCATCTGATTGTGAGTATTCATTATTCAAGCTTTGTAAATGCTATTGGTATCTCGTATTGAAATGACAAGAATCTATACTTTCTGTCGAGTTTAAATTTTAACCAATGTTCATCTGATTGTGAGTATTAATTATACTGAATTAATGTTTTATTTGTTGACTTAAAATGACCAAAACCTGTTTTTCCGTACCAGAACGAATTATGGAGCACATGCAGGACAAGCAAGACGTTGTGGAAGTGCAACCTGAGAGCGAGAATGTGTCAGAGCCCGTCCACGTAGTTGATGGTGGAAAACTTAGTGGAGGTGGTGTAAATGTGCCGGAGGTGGGAATGTTGTTCAAAAATGAGAAAGACATGTATGATTTTTACAAGGAATATGCTTATACAATGGGGTTTCCAGTTAAGAAAAGGAATTCAAAAAAAGGCGACGATGGAGTTTTGAGATATATAACATTGACATGTAGTCGGGAAGGCGGAAGAATCGATAATAATAGCGGTACTTTGAAGCCGCTACCAACAGTTCAGCTTGGTTGTAAAGCCAGGATTTCCGCATCTTCTGATAGTTTTGGAAACTGGAGAATTAACACAGTAAACCTCGAGCACAATCATGAAATCAGTCCATCTAAATCTAGGTTATATCGCTGCAACAGACAACTAAGTGCAACTATGAAACGGAAACTTGAGGTGAATGATATGGCAGGAATTGCGTTGCATAAAAGTTACAACTCTGCAGTTGTAGAAGCAGGTGGATACGATAAAATGACTTGTATTGAAAAGGATTGTCGAAACTATGTAGAACGAGCGAGGCGACTACGACTTGGAGAAGGAGATGCGGCAGCAATTCAATCCTATTTTTCAAAAATGCAAGCACAATGCTCAGGATTCTACTTTAGTATTGATATGGACGAGGAGTCGCGGCTACGCAATGTATTTTGGGCAGATAATCGGTCTAGGCAAGCATACAAGGAGTTTGGCGATGTTGTTTCATTTGATACCACATACCTCACAAATAAATACGACATGCCATTCGCTCCTTTTGTAGGCGTAAATCATCACGGGCAATCGACACTGCTTGGTTGTGGTTTGGTGTCGAACGAGGACACGGAGACTTTTGTATGGTTGTTCAAAACATGGCTGCAGTGCATGAACGGTAAAGCTCCAGATGGTATTATTACGGATCAAGATAGGGCAATGCAGAATGCCATTCAGATTGTTTTTCCAAATACAAAGCATAGATGGTGTTTGTGGCACATTTTGAAGAAGTTGCCAGAGAAGTTTGGCTACCATGTGGACAAGGGTTCGATATTTGGGGCTATACACAGATTGGTATATGATTCGACGTGCCCTGAAGAATTTCAAGATGGTTGGAGGACGATGATTGATACGTACGGATTGCATGACAATGATTGGCTATCAGGATTGTACGAGAGTAGGGGACGTTGGGTTCCGTGCTTTTTAAAAACAAGGTTCTGGGCTGGGATGTCCAGCACACAGAGAAGTGAGAGTATGAACGCATTTTTCGATGGGTACGTGCAGGCGAAAACATCATTGAAGCAATTTGTTGAACAGTACGAACGGGCCCTCAGATGTAAGGTTGAGAAGGAGTTCCAGGCGGATTTCAAATCATTCTCGCAGATGGTACCATGTGCAACCCAATTTGAATTGGAGCAACAGTTTCAGTCGGTGTATACTATATCAAAATTTCGTGAATTTCAAGATGAGTTCACGGGGAAGGTGTACTGCGACGTAATGTCTATTTCAGAAGGAGTTTCTGATGCGACGTATGAAATACGGGAGACTATTATGTTCGAGGGAGGTAGGAGGAGAAAGACATTCATCGTGTCGTTCGTCAGAGATACAAGTGACATTGTTTGCACTTGCCATTTGTTTGAGTTTAAGGGCATACTTTGCAGACATGCGATCACGGTATTGCTTCGGAATGAGGTCACACATGTTCCCGATAGGTATATACTGCATAGATGGAGGCGTGATGTTCCTAGATGCCATACCAGGGTTCCAGTAAAATACGATGGGTTGGTCAGTACTCCGGCCCAAATGAGATATGAAGAGATGTGTAATGGTTTCACGCAAGTGGCGAACCTAGCTGCAGATGATGAACGCCGGTCACGTACGATGATGGAATGGATAAGAGTTCAATGTAAAGAGCTTTCAACAATTAAATCGAGTACAGGAAGTAATGACGAATTTCAAGATGAGGTCCCCAATGATTTGGCAAATACTTCCGGTCACAGCGTACTTGATCCGAAACATACGCGGAGAAAGGGGGCACCAAGGAAACTTAGGAGAAAAAGTCCACTGGAGACTTCATCGAAGAAAGCGAAGGTACGTTCTTTGTTTTGATATTTTGACATTTATGCATATGTTTCCTTATGACAATGACAGCTCACAAGCTTATGTCATGCAGACTGGTTCGACCTCTAACGCTCGTGGGAAATCGACAACAAGAAGCATTAATGTGGTTGCTGGAGGAATCAATTTTCACCCACCGCAACCACAACATCAATCCATGTCGACACCAACACCATTTTCCCTTTCACAACCGTCCCTGAACTTCATGTATAACGTAGAAGGTAGGAATTATTTTTTCTCTAATTTATGCATTTAAACTTAGATGATTACAAGCTCCCTTCAATAACATTTCCGTTTCGGTTTTGATGTAGGGCAATCTATGTCATCATACTTTCCTCCAAACTTACCTCATGTAGATGGCAATGGCCCGTGACTTGGATGTGTAGTTGGCATCATGGGTGTCTCATTATGGAACTGTTGTAGTTCAATGTATTGATGGTGAAAATTTGTGGTGTTGTAGTTTTTATTTGAAGTTATCAAGGTTCTGGATTAATGATTTATACATTATGTTCCATTTGCTTCCTAATGTATGAGTTCAATGTTTGTGGCAGCCCCATTTTACAAATTTTTATGTGAAGTTTTCATTGCAAAGGAAGCATCTTCTGTTGGTTTAATGAGGCTGCATCATCTGTTGATTTCTGGGCATTTTCTAGCAAATATATTAAGGCACACTGCCACACCAACATTGCAGTGTCTTACATGCTCAGTTGGTTAATATAGGTTGACCAACAACTTTAAATTACTTCACACAAAAGACATACAATATTTAAAACTTCAGATTTTAATAGATGGAGAAAACACTTATAGATGAACTCAAACCCAAATGTTCAGATATTTGCATTGCAAAAGTTGTCTACCATTACACAAACTACAACCTACCATTACACAGACTATGCTACACAAACTACCATAAGAGTTCATACACAACCTGCACAAACTACCCTACACAAACTACCATTAAATTCATTTAATCTTCAACTGGATGCTTCCTTTTGGCATCAACTTGCGCGATTGTGACATTCACTGAAATATGGAGCTCCTTATCGTCGCTGATCCGAACTCGAGACTGGAACGTTCGGGACATTTCTTCAATTGTTTCATTCTTCGCGGGGTTGTTCGAACCGCTTGATTCTTCCTCCTTAACAACCCAATCCCAATAACCGCAATTGTTACTACAGCAAATGAATAATTTCCCCTTGTTCTTGCCCTCCTTCTCCACTACAAAACATTTCTCAAACCCACGCTTACACCTCGAGCAAAGACGTTTCTTTTTGCATTCGGCAAAGTAGTGATCTTTCGCTCTACAGCAGTGACATATTCATAGTTCCTTCCTAGCATTCTAAGACAGCAGTAAATACTTCAACAGGCAATTCTGCAAATTGTCAAAAACGAAAACATAATCAATAACAAAATATGATCCTGGACAAGAAGCAGAAGGGGTCATATTCAGAGAATTTAAGCCTCAATTCGTCTTTGCAGTCCATGGCAGATTAGGACAATGTTGACAGAAACTAAAGGGGTAGAAACGAACATGGCTGCAGATTGGTGTGCAAGTGAAGGCTGCAGAATAAGAGTAACTCGTATGGAGGAACAAGGTAAGGGTATCCTAACAACCATTTCGCATTTTCCATTTCAGAATCCCTACGAAACCCTCC